TCACTCCCAAGCCACAGGCCCCCAGGCCTGCTGCTACCCCTCACTCCTGTCCCACAGTATCTCACATCTTGCCAGGGCATGAGGGGCTCCCTATCCCCCACACACCCCCACACCCCTCCACAAATCCACCCCCACCCATTCCCCAACCATACACAATACCTGCATAATTTTGAGTTTTTCTGTGCATAATTTTGAATTATTCACTGTGCAATTAAAATCGTAAGTAATTGCGACTAATTTTTTTAATTGCGCAACTAATCACAATCACATTTAAAGTTTGACAGCCCTAGTTTCTTTGGGCATCTCTAAACCAATAATGGTGGATCTCAGGGAGAGTAATTAATAGGGGATCGATCACCCTAGATCTATCCACTTCAATGCTCTCTCTATAAAGTATCCACTCCTGTCAGCTACTGGGGAGAGGATATGAGGCTAAATGCACTGACTCAGTATGGCATTTATGTTCTTACAAGGTAAAGGTTTGGGGGGAGAAAAAAAAACAAACAGTAAAAATACTTCAACATTAGCCCTAACACTTTCCCCAAAGTCAGAAGCCATGCTCCAGTTTAACATTTATTTTCCTCCTCCTATTCCTAACATTTTATTGGCTCCTATTTAGTGGCTTATTTTTCAGACATACAGGTAGGACTACAGAGCTTCTTCCCAAAGTCAATGGTCTCATGGACATTAGAAGTCTTACCTCTTTTGTCTAAACAGATTGAGACTGCAGCATGCAAAGGAGTATCACCTTCTTTAATGGAAACACTCCGAGAATCTGCGCCACTGCTCAGAAGCAAATAAGCCAATTCAAAATCAGCATTTTTCAAGCACATTGTCAGTGGTTTTTCCTGGATGGTTCCAGGCCCCTCAGGTGAAGCTGGTGAAATAGAAAAGAATATTTACATTAAATCAGACAAATAGGTCTGTATACTATAAACAGGGTGAGCATATGTCCCAGTTTGGCCAAGACAGTCCTGGGTTTCGTAAGCAAGCCCCAGCCAATTAGTGAAAATTAAAACAGACATCCTGAAATCACAGGGGCATGAAGCACTGTTTGGCAAGGAGGTGGAGTGGCATGGTGCACCAGGCAAGCCCGCAGCAGTGCCATTGACTTCCTTAAAAGTAATATGGTTACCATAACTACAAAGGCTGCAAAAAAGAAAGGACATCAGCTTCAGATATTGAGTGGTTAATAGTTAAAAGCATAGGTTTCGTTTCAAAAGTTCATTACATGCGTCTGTCTCCGAGTATTATTAAGGTAATGCTAGTAACTGCATATCAATCTCTCTTTAAAACTGTATCAAGGGGGGGAAATTAAAAAAAAAAAGATTTTCCCTTAAATAATCTGAAGCCCAACAATTCTTTCAACCTCCCCCCATCAAAAAAAGTGCAGGAGTAGAGTATGTAAAAAATAATAAAAAGAATGGAATTTCTTCCTTGCACGGAACTACAGTTAAACCAGCATATTTCCATTTACTTGTAGCTGAGACTACTCTCCTCTCCCCACCTTTGAAAAATATAAATTATTATAGTGTAGCAGTTGAAGAAAAATAAGCCTTAAATACAATTTTCAGACCTTTCAGGAGTCAGTTGCCAAGATGAAACATATTGTAGGATCATAGGAAAGTAGGTCTGGAAGGGACCTCACAAAATCATCTAGACAAGCCCACTGGTAAAGCCAGGATCATCCCTGACTAAACCAGCCCATCCAAGTGTCTGTCTAATCTGCTCTTGAAAATTTCAAGGGATGGAGACTTCTGTAGGTCATCTGTTCCAATGCCTGCACCAAAGTCAGTAGTTTCCTCCTAATGGTCAACCACAATTTCCTCAGCTGCAGTTTTGAGGCTGTTGCTCCTAGTCCTGTCCCATACAGCCACAAAGCAAAGGCCATCTCCATCCTCTCTACAATTGCCCTGAAGGTTTTCGAAGATTTATCAAATTCTCTTTCAGTCTTCTCTTCTCCAGACTAAAGAATCCTAGCTCATTCAGCCTCTCCTCAAGTCTTGCTTCCCAGACCTCTAATTATTTTGATGCTCACTCCTGGACTCTTTGCAATCTATGCATATTTTTCCTGAAGCAAGGGGTCCAAAAATGGACACAGTACTCTAGGTGAGGCCTCACCAGTGCTGAATAGAGTGGAAGAATCACTTTTCTTGATTTGGAAGAGATGCTTTTGTTAATACAACTGAGTATGCTGGTGGCTTATTTTTTTCTTTTGCAACAAGAGCACACTGTTGGCTGATACTCAGCTCATGGTCCACCATAACGCCCAAGTCCTTGTCTGTACTACTACAGCCTTACCAATCAGCCCCCAGTTATTCCCCAGTTTGGAATCACAAATGGCAATGGTTCCTCAACTCCACAGGGGGACCCACATGGCACTATTCCACCCTACTTTATCTACTGATCCTGACAGCTTCTTGGAGAAGGGACCTTGTTTTCATGTTTACTGGTAATCACCTATCACCCTATATAAAGCAATAGAAAACCTTCATGAAATAATCCATGGGCATCCTAAATGAGGCTAATTGTGCCAATTTACATTCAGAACAACATACATAAGCTTTTCACAGCTCTCCTTACCCAAGTGAAAACAGCGTTTGGCTATTTCTTCCACAAAGGCATTTCAGTGGAGATTTTGCTCCCTTGCTCATGCTGAATATTAGCTTACCCTACAGGTAAGCTCTATCCATTTCGACACAAAACATCATGCTCTAGAATCAAGCCTTTTATATACAGCTATTGCATTCACAGAAGGGCAGGAGAATCACAAAGTAGTATTTCTAAAAGATCTGTTACAGTCAACAAACTAAAGTTTTATATCTTCTAAGACATTTTAATATCTGTGAGTTTTTACCTCCTCTTTCTATCAGGCATCTTATGAGATGTACTCGTCGCTCATCCGCTCTGTCAAGCTGTTTGATAATGCTGCCAGTGTTGATGTCAGAAAGATCACAATTTTTGATGAGTCCACCTCCTGGGGACATTTTTCCACTGGCTTTCCCTGTTAGCAACAGCAAAACTTCATGCCACATTTGCTTTTCTAACAAGAGCTTTATGAAGCTGGTAGCACAAGCATGGTAGATGTCACAAACCATGTCTTCAGGAATTTCTACAAAGAAACAAAGGAAAAACAAAATAAAAATCAAGATATCAATAAAATATTGACCAGTGTAAACCAATTCCAGAATTATTAACCATTCAAAGTATATATAACTTCAACCTAGCATTAGTGTTCTGTATCCAATAGCATAGAAAGCATGCATATAAACAAAAATCAGTAAAAGAAATCAATGTTACCTTAGGACCTGGATAGATGACACGTTTGTAATGCTGTAATCAGCACTAAACCATTGTAAAAAAGTAGCACTAAGATGACGCAAAGCCCTATACTAGAGCCACTTCACCCAACCCAATGGAGAATTCCCCCCTGGATTACACCCAATTCCCTGTAAAGACTCAGAGTAAACCTATAGTGGTGTAAATTACATTGGCTTGTGTCATCAGTCTGTATTTATTCCATGATGGCAAACTGGCTATTATCTGCTATTATCTAGTGATGAGGCCAGTGATAAATAGTCACCTGTGCTGGGACATCTGATCCTCTGTCTGTTCCTGATCTTGATGTAATTACATTGGTATACATAATCAGGGTAAACTATACCAAGGGATGTATTCCTGGTCTTTAGGCAAGCAGCTAAGGGAGGCTGGTAAAAGGTTAAAAAAAACCAAAAAACCCCGACCCCAACAAAACAAAAACCTTGGAGTGTCCTTAATTTACAATCAGATTCAAAACCTTCTCACAAAAAACCTGTTCACTTACTTCTCTGTTCCCCCACTTTTGGGAGAAAGCAGAGGAGGAACAGAGAATACTTCATGTAGACATTGAACACAAATTCTCTAAAAAAAGAGTTGAAGCACACTCATAAAGCACTGCTGACAAGCCCATGGTGCTGCTGTCTGCCCTAGACTGCTTAAAAGGACCTCAGGTCTCACAAGTGCAGAATCTAAGATACATATCAAAATTACTAAATTCACAAGAATAAAAGAGCCACATTCTCCTATTTTCACTGCTCAGCTTCAACTGCTACATTCCTCTGGAACTGCATTATCACCTCCCTGTGCTTATGACATCATCTCTCCTACTGGATTCCCAGCTTCTCCCACCAGAAAGTGTGACTGTACTAAAGCAATTCAACTTTTTTTAGTACAGGCTCATTGCAACGACAGCATGGGGGTGCAACCTGCTGGCGTGTGCACCCTTTAGAAGTTCAGGTCACACTACACAAACCCCATGGGCAGCAGTGATTAGGTGCACGCTGTAGGCAAGTCAGGAATAGTCACTGCAGTATGCATAGCCTTGACTTCCCACTGCTCCCAGTTGGGTAGGAACCACCACGCTTTCCACATATCTGGTCAACAAGCTGTACTAGTTACTCATCTAGAGCCCAGATTGGGGATGTGTATTTTAATACAGTTCTATTCTGAAGAGCAATTCCAAACAAAATAGTAGCACATGATTCCAGGCTTGTCATCTCTCAAACTGCAGATCAAATTTGCTGAGTTTATACAAGTAAAGATAGGACTTTAACTGACTGCCAGCTCAGAAAGCTCAATGGAGGATGTGAGGTGGGGGGGGCCAAAAGACAAAAACCCCTAGATGTGTGCTTTATACCTCAGGCACCAGCACTAGAAAGAGAATTTGGCCTGCAGAGTATTTACTCTATTTCGTCCAAGCAACCCATAGTTTTTCTCATCACTGCAACGGTCTCTGAAAGCCGAACTTCTTTATGAAATAGATAGGTACAAAATACATCTCAGCCTTTTTCAGTTGTGTCGACTCTGCAATTCTAACCAAAGATAAGAGAAATGTACACTTATTTTTGTCATGGAAGTATGGAAAATACAACTCTTAATATCCTGCAATACACTGGAGGGCGGGGGATGTAAGACAACATTCATGCCGTCTCTTTTCAGAGAAAAGCTTGACTTGAATCTATCCACAAACTTTATTACTCTGTGCCATTGTGGAATTTGAAAGAGAACACAATCCCAGATTGATATTGACTACATTCCCTATTAAATTAAATTCCCTAATAATCCAGTATCCATAAAAATGAAAGGACCAGTACCCTGAAGGCCTGAGTGACAGAAGAGAGTAAATGCTAAGGTGACAGACAATAGAACAAACAATACTTAAACTTTTCTGATCTTAATCAAAAGGCTTCCACGTTCATATAAATATATTTCAACATATTTTAGGAGTTTACAGTTAAACATTAGCAGAAATTTTGTGCTCCTCATGTCCCCACGTTTCTCTTTTGGTCTGAACGCCCTCCCTCTCACACTTCCAGCACACTACTATATCATCTGTAGAAACGGGTGGGGAGAAAGGAAGGTAAAGGGGGAGAAGCAAAAAAAGGAAAAGCGAAAGACCGGAAAAATACAATAAAACTATATTTTAAAAAATATGTATTTTGTTGGATTTGTTTTTTCTGTCTCTCTGATTTGAGACGCTTTCCTGATAACAGAAATGACTGGAAACAGAAAATGACTGCTGTTCAATGTTCAAATTGGAGGTTACTTAATATTATAGAACCAGTGTTGCAGTGCAGTGGTGTGAGGCAGTTATTTCTACTTTCCAGATGCTATTTTAATGCTTAAGTCAATACACCCAGCATTGAAATAAAATGCAGAGTCACGCACTGCTTTCTTGTTGAAGTTGCCTGTAAAGAACAAAACACATGATATGCATCTTAGGCATACAGGCAACTCCCGCTTAGAGCTCTTAATTGGTTACCAAAAAACTGAGCGTTAAGCAGAAATAGCGTTAAGCAAAATTGAAAGTTTTTGACAAACCAAGATGGCAACCGTGACCATTATAACAAAATTCACTGAGCACTAAGTGGAATCAGGTATCAATGTAAAATGAGCATTACAGCGAAATAACGCTAAGCAAAACAGTGTTAAGTACAGGAAACTCCTGCTTGTGAAAAAGCTGCTTATCACAAGCATAAGAAGTCTTTCTGCAGCTTTGCATTCAAGGCCTCCTTCTCTCTAAAGTCTATATGCTAGAATTGGCAGAATAAAAATAAAATCTTGGAATGCTAACAGTCCTATTTAAGTTAAATATTTAATATAGTGGGGGGCGGAAAAATCAAATGCACCATATTCAGTACGATTAAAAAAACTGCCAAATAAAACTTTGATGAATAGCATTTATACTAGTAACAAGGTGTCAGAAAAATATAACTATGACTCCAAATATTAGTGTATTAATATACTTGTGATACAAACAAGAGAGTCAATCAGTTTTTAGTCATTACATTTGAAAATACTATATAGCAATTCTATTTGTAGGCAGAAGCATTTTGCCAGTCTTAAAATTAAAAACAAACAAAACCCAGCACAGAAGCATAAAGCAATACCCTTGCTCATTTATAGGCAAGACTGCAACAAAAGAATATAACTATAATATAATCTATGCCGTTTGTGGCATTGAATCTTGTGCATTTTTCTTGAAACATTAAAAAGGCAAGACATAACAAGTACAAAATGTTTTTGTCCTATGTTACAGAAACCAGGGGACAAAATCCTACATGTTAGCCACATATACAAAAGACTCATAGATATGAAATTGTGAGAGGGGGAGATAAACTGTTTATCTTACCTTTTACAGTAGACAGTTTCTTCAGAAAGTTCTGAACAGCTTTTTCCTGCAATAAATTTTTATGCTGTTCTTGGTTTTCAGGACTGCAGAACTTCAGAAATTGTTCAAAAGCAACCTGAAGAAAATCCGTTTTATCAGACGAGGTTTTGCTTTCACTCTGCCCTGCAAAATATCACCAAAGTTGGTAATCTGTTTCTGGTTTCCTTTTAGTTACATTTTGGTTTGGTTTCCTTAGAGAAGAAGAATGTATGGATATTATTATACAATATATCCTATTAATTGTAGGATATAGGAGTGTTAACCTGGGTAAAAGTACATGTGGGTTTTTTTAAGAAGAGACACAAAAATATGTCATCTGCCAGTTCATGAAATATTATACAAAAATAATGTTGGAAGACAGTGTGCTTTCCATTTTAGCTAAATGCTCTTAACAGAAAAGTCCAACCCCGATTTAAGTTTGTCTGCTGCTTTCAAGACATTAAACTACATCGAAGTGAGATGAAAATAAAATGATTTATTTCATCCCTTAGGATGCTAAGACAGAAGTCAGATTACTGGAGATAACTCAAGGAAGGTAGTCATCTTTCAGGTATTTCTGAAGGATATTCCAGGAGTAGAGCAACAACTATTTCTCTAATCCTACATAAACAAAGGCCCCTGACAGATATTACACTTAAAGGTGTGATTAGTCTGTTAATCGTATCTTAAATAGACACTCAACCACACATTCAGGATATAAGTGGCACCATAAAAAGAGAAACCATCCACAAAAAATTACACAATTTTTGTGTAATATTTTTGTGGCTGGTTTCCATCAAGCTTCAAACTCAACATATGGCAGGGTTAGGACTGCATCGAGTCCCCAGCTGGCTTCAGTACGGTACGTGCTGGCCAACAATCAGATAATTGTTGGCTGGACTGGGACCACAGCTGGGCTTGGACCAGCGCGGGTGCAGTCCTGGAGCCAGCTGGCTGATAAGATGATCATCAGCTGGATTGGGACCACAGTAGAGCCTCAGCAGAAGAGATTCCAAGTCGATCTTTTCATTACAAAGCCACAGGCCAATGGACCATTGCAGACCAAGGGCAAAAGAGCACAGAGAAACTATAGATGTCAGCTAGATGAAGGGTAAGAATCTGTACTTGGTACACTTTTCTGTCTTCAAACCTATGGTCCGTTTTGTTTGCTTCCAACCCGTGTAATAAATACTTTTGTTGTTTGTCTCCTGACTGACAGTGGAAAGAGTTATTTCTAAGGGAATGATATTCCAGGCTTACTCTGTCCATAGAGAGGGGGACCTATATTGCTTCCATAACCCAAAACCCATAACTCACTTGGGTCCATCACAGGTCCCTCACTGCAACAGCAGAATCCAGCATAAGGGCAAAGGAACTGAGGTACTAGGATAGGGAGCTATTTTGGGGCAACCTCAATCTGTTCCTTGGGGCAAGTGGCAGTTCCATGGGGAAAATTTGGGACCTCAGGGGTCCCCTGCAGATAGATGGTTTTGTGACAACCATCATTTTGCATGATCATGAAAACAAAGAGGTCAATGCATTCTAGCCTAAAAAGCAGGCAAAGCAGCACGTTATTCCAAGGTACTTGGGAAGAATCAACTGAGGGCATCTTGATCCTTTTAATGGTTAAAACACTAGAGCAGGCTGTAGTTCAGTGGGCCCCAAATACTGCATCCTACAAGTTCCTATTTCTAAATATTTTTAATTCCTGTTGAAAGGGGATGGAGTGATGAGCTCTGACTAGTAAGCAACATATTCTAGATGACATAATTAGTGGTAGGCTGTTTAAGATACAAAAATAATGTGGCCTTTGTAACATAGACCTTCACTTCAGAACCAGTAATAGATCTCAACTGAGGAGCAGGAAGTAGCCACCATTTTAAAAATAGGCCAAATGACATATTAGCAAATTATAATTTTTTTTTGTTATTATTATTTATTTCTCCTGATGTTCCAGTTGTAATGTGTTATGGGAGAAGAACAAGACACAAAAAGATGAATAAAAGTAGTTAGTATATGGATTAAGGTATACGAGCAACAAAGTGCCTCCTTTCTACCAGGTAGGTGAAGGTGGCAGGTCAGAACGGTTTCCTTTACTGAATGGAAAAAAATATCTGATTATTTCCAGAGTTCTCCATAGTTAAAATATTATGGAAATTTTTCAAATGTAGATCATAAGCTTTGGGGGGGCATGCTTCTATTTTTACTAAGCTTCTACAGTAATGATATGCATTTTCTTCACCCAGAAGAGTAGCTGAAATGTAATCTGCCAGTTCCCAATAGCACTGGCATCTGTACATTTTAAACATTACCTGGGGGTGGGTGGGAATCAGCCACAGAACTTACTATCAGTGGCAACCTGAGCATAGTTGAACGTACACAAAACATCCCCTAAAGGCCCCAGCTTTACAAAACTATTACATACTAACTAGCACACTGTCATTCCACTGCAATTTCTGGTCCCCATAAAATAGGATTGTTATTATTACGCTATCCAAAAGAATACTGGCTGCCTAATAATAAATGGAAAGACATGATGCAAAGATTCTTACAAACCTAAGGACCTGCTCTTGCAAATACTTAAGCACATACTCTTCCAACTATATGGGTAGTCACACTGACACTTTAAGTTACACATGTGGGTAAAATTTGCAGAAGTATGGTCTATTTTTGACAAGAAGTGATGAGACACAGTAAGCAACACCAGAGAAGGAAGAAATGTGGAAAGACACAGATTGCGGAAATAACTCAGTTTGAACACGGAACCAAATGGTGGTACAAATACTTTTTTTTGAAGATGACAAGAGACTAGTAAAGCATTGCTGACAGGGAATGACACAACGTGATATTAGAAACAGTTTGAGTTTTTTACAAATGTCATTCAATACAAGGACAAGAAGTTTAAACCTGATACAGGAGAGATACAGAAATGAAACTCATCACTCTCAATGAAAAATGGAACTTCTGTGGTTTGTAAAAGAACACCATTTTAAAACAGGGAATGAAAACAGCCTTATGTAATACCTGGTGATTCCGCAGAGAAAGCAGGATGTCTTGCTATGTGACTGTTGATTATATCTACAGCCTTGAAGTTTTTATTTTTCTTCAGCATATCGACAGCACATCTTGACAGTCTATCTGCAATCGTGGGATCCACTCCATAATTTAGGAGCATCTGCACATCATCTGTTTGACCTAAACCATAAAAAGAAATGCAGCTGAAAGAGAAAACATGGGCCTCACTGTTTGTGGGGGGAGAGGGCAGGGGAGTTATTGCCATGGTTCAAACGCTGATTACAGAAAAATGAATAGCTTGATATTACATATAACTGCCACTATCTGTTTCCTATATAGTGGTTTTCATCCATAGATCTCCATACAATGTGTAAGAGTACAGCATCATTTCCCTCGTTTTACAGATAGGAAAACTGAGGCACAAGGTCCAAGAACATACAGCAGGACAGTAGTCAAGCTAGACACTGAATCCTAGGTCTCCTATGTCCCAGCACAGTGCTTAAGCTATTAAGTAGGGCCTTACATAAAAAAGGCTTTTATGGGGTGATCACTAAAGACAGATTCTTCACAATATCCCACGTTCTTAAGTATGAAAACAGAGCAAAGCACCAGTTTCATTCCATATCAGGAAGAGAAGATCATCTAAGCATTATTAAGCCTTGTAATAAAGCTTATCACCATTTTGCTAAATACAATATTGTTTTTGCTCCCTTCAACAGAAACTATACATGTCTTAGAACAAACAATAATCAAAAGTCTCTCAAAAACGTCAACTTAGTTTTGAGGCCTCACCACAATAAGTTGACCAGGCATCCAAGTATAAGCCTATTCCACACTTTTCAAGTTCCCCAAAAAAGTCTGTGCAATAGTTTAGTGAGTCCTCTCCCATCTCACTGCTCTGTGCAATTTAGTCTTAAGGCCATGATGAAGGTGGATTTCAAAAATAATGATATTCCAGAGACTCAAACAGGGAGAAATTAAGATCACACTTGGAAATCTAATAGGTCTAACAAGACCATGCCTAAAATATTTTTAGTGTACTAGAAGGCAATGAACTCTCTTAACGATACCCCTTTATGCCCTTATAATGGGCACCGTAATACTCTGAGGATGCATCTACATATTAATTAATGTGCAGTAGTTATTGCACATTAAATTTAGTACGTGTATAATCAAGTAGTAAATTAATGTGCAGTAACCAGAGTTACTGTGCAGTAGCACCAGAGCACACCTTTTTAGCGAAGCTATGCACAGTAGCATATTAGCTCTGTTTGTGCTGTGACATGCTACTATGCAGTATTATTAGGTTACTGAGCAGTTAGCATCTCATGTAGACATGCCCAAGAAGATGTGTACTCTCCTTACCTCAGGACAGGGAAACATCTGCTTCAAGCCACATCCAGCAAAAAGCCAGGAGGAGTGCAAGAGTTAGGGGATCAGCCAAGCAAGCAAGTGAAAGAAGCATAAGTCATGACTTGATGACCTTTTCATTTTCCTAAGACACTGACAGGAGGTGGATAAGAAACAGCGATAGAAGGTAGGAACCTCCTATCACTGTCTCTTATCCTTCTCCTACCACTGTGTCCCCACTTGCTAGAGCATCAAGGCATAACCTGGCTGGAAGAAAATCTGGGAAGAAGCAAAACACTTTACATATGTAATGCCTGGCTTTGTGCATTTACACCTTACCATTTATGCTTTTTTATTTTTATTTTTTTGGAAAAGCAGATGGCTGTGAAATTTCTTCCATCATCTGCTTCTTCTATCACTACTCATTTAGCAGCAGATGGGATGGCTATGAGAGGTTAAATGTGACACTTCTACAACTAACTCAATATTATGAATGAGACTACCACAGACTATAAAAAATGCAGTAGGTCAGCATTTAACCAAGTAATCATGGGATCAATAGTGATGCTCATTTCCTGTTGCCATCCAGTTGAATTATTAAGAAATGCATGTAAAATAATAATAAAGCTAAGTTTCTACAGTTGTAACCAGAGGAAAAAAAGGAAATTCAGAGATGGCATCATAATTTGACCTTTACAAGAAACCCCTGAAAAACAGCTCCAAATTTGTCACACCTAAGACAAGACATATTTTACAAATAAACACAACTTCAATCTAATCAGGTCTAAGCCCTTATACAATTTATAAAGGGCATCAAAACTTAGAAATATCAGGAAGAAAAAAAAACAAGCTGTACCTAGTGGATAAACCAATGATTGTGAACCAGAGTGCCAGAGCACTATGAGGTGCCACCAGATCCTTTGAAGGGTCCCCAACATGTGAGAAGATAAGCAAATAAACTAAGCAGATGCTCCTCCTTGCCTGGAAGTTTCCTAGCCCTACTGCCCAGACCCTGTGTGAGGAGGTAAGCATTGTAATATAAATTAATTTTTGAAATTGGGTGCCACTCAATTCACAAAAATTATAAAAGTGTGCCTTGAGTTCAGTCAGCGGTGCCTCAAGTCCAAAAAAGTTGAGAACCGGTGGGATACATCTTAAATCAGAAAAAAGGAATCCTAACATTGTATCATTATTTTTTAAACAGATACTGTATTTGCTGTGGTTATTAAGGTTGCACTCAGACTACAAGCCTTTCCCATTCTTCTCCTTGGCATGCATTAAGAACATCATTGTCTGGAGGCTTTTTTCCCCCCCTTTTGTCAAAACAAGCCCAAAGATGGAGGGGAAAAAATCCATCCTTATTTACATACGTTTCATGGAATATCCATTGGAATGAGATGCCACAACATGTAGGACTGTGCAGCCATCGCAGTCTTGCTGGTTGATACTACCCTTCAAGTCTGGTTTCTGGTCTAGCAGCCATCTGAAAAGATCGCTCCCTTCTGAAATGAGTAAAAAAAAAACGTGTCACAAAACTGTACACTGTTATACTAAAACAGAAGGAGGAGGAAATAATATTATATTTTCTCTTGGAGTGAAAGAGACCCTCTCACAGACCCTTCCTTTTAAGGCAGAGAGTGGATGACAGAAGAAAATTGAAAAGCATCAACAAATGGTGCTATGGGTCAACTTCTTTGTTGGACACAGAACCAAATTTTGGCTGATTCATAATATATATGCAATTCTGGTCTTGATCTACAGATTTTTAACCTGTTACCCAAATCAAACAAACAGACAGACAGACTGCTATTATTTTCAAAGTTGACATTTATAGCTATAATGCTTTGGCTTTTAACCAAGGAAAATGTTGTTTCAATGTCAGTATTGGGATCATATGACTTCCAAACACATCTGAACAAGAGGAATGAAGCTTGAGTAATATTTTTTGTAGTAAATTCTTGAGCTATAGAAGATAATCTCCTGATATGATTTGGTTTGAGATTTTGTCAAATATGGTTTCAGTTACAAATTTTCTGGAGGCTGGCCTTGGTTGCCTTTGTTTTATTTTAATATGGATTGCTGCTTACTTGCTTTGATGCAGAGTTTAACGATAGCGTGAAGTGGATAAGCTCCAACGCTCCCAATGTTTGCTCCAATAGAGATAAGCCATTCCACCAGTTGTGGTAACCTGTCTATTCTGTCATATTGTCCAAAGAGAACATATTTCTGATAACAAAAGAAATAAGTAAAAACATTAGAGTTGCATTATTCTACAATGCATGACAGAAATTCTCTTTCCCAGGGTTATTTTCACCTCATCCAAAACAAGAGTTTTTCGTGACTTACGAATTTGATGTAACAATGACAATGCAACAGAATAAAGGTGTTTGCTTTACTTATTATAAAGTTGAACTGCAAATATATTTATTTGCATTTCAAGAGCACCTAAAAGCCCCAACTCAGTGAGGGCCCCAATTTGCTATGAACTGCTCAACAAAAAAAGACACAACACTACAAAGCAGATGTCTCTGCCCCAAAGAACTCCAATTTTACACTACTTAATATTACTATGTATTAGTAATATATATTCTATATTTTGTATGATACATATCCTATTTATCTACCATACTAGTATTGCATAAATCTCTCCTTTTCTGTACTGATGGTACCAAGTCTTTTAGGGCCAGAAAAAGGAGTTTGCAATCACACTAGTACAGGATATTATAAGGCTTCACACGTGATTTTTTTTTTTTAATTATTATTTTATTTTATTTATTTATTTATTTTTTTTAAACAGGGGGTTTCAGTTCAATCACTGGAGAAGCCTGGCTTGGCTCCTAGACCATGGGCCTTTTACAGATTATCTATACCCCTCACATCTACTAAACAGGAGATATGCCTTTTCTACCTTGAAATCACTATAGCAGCTTTAAACTAGCTAGCTTGGTATTGGATAGCAGCAGTAGTGCTAGCTGCTACCCCTCCCCCATCCAACAATTTTGATTAACACTTATGTAATTAGCCACGTAGCAAGCTACACTGCTGGGAACACCCAGACAGGCTACTTTAAAACTAGTGTAGATCCCAGAGACAATTTTTTCTGCTACCACTATATGCAATCTTCCTGAAAACCAGACAGTACATTTAATGATCTTTAAAATTTACTTTTGCCCTCCCTCTTCCAGGATTTCTCTGTTCCCCATACCAAACACATTACTGCTTTCTACTAACACAAGTATAAATCAAACCGTATTTGAAAGTTATATAGTAAAAATACTAGTACAGTGCTGCTGAAGTACTGGTTTGGTGGCATCTTCTGGTGTTCTCCAACAAATATGTTGTATGCCCACTATTTACTAGCCAGTAAATGCAGTTCTATAAAGCTTGCTTTCTATCCCCTAAAGTACAGATTTTTAATTACCTCTCTAATGTCATTTTAAGATGCTAAAGAGAAGAGATCTCTTAACTCAATCACTAGAAGAAACTTAACAGAAGAAGACAGGTAACTTGTTAAACAAAATACATATAACAGTACCTCAAAAAGATCCTTTAGTGATAACTGAGTTACTCTGAGATTTCTCGGCAATCTGTCCTTCTCACATACCAACAACAGGAAAGACTAGGAAAGAAAAGAACATTTGGAAGCTTTTAGATAGTATGCTTAAATTCATTTAGCTGAATTATCAAACATTACAAGGGAAAACTGAATAAGTACTATCAACAAACATTTTCTTTTTGTGTTGCCTATTGTTTGTACTTACTCCTCAGATTCTCAAGAACAAAACCTTCTTTCCCTTCTTGTTTGTTAAAATTATACAATTTGGTGCACACTTCCCAGCCCTTGCCCAGATGCATTTCTTATCAGGCACGTGTCACCACAATTCAGATACATTTGCTATCATATTCATACAAAGCATCAACTGCGACAAAAGCATATCCCTGGGAACACATTTGTTAACTTGCAATCCCACTGGTACTCTAAGGTAAAATCACTGTGGACTTAGCATAAAAATTGGAGCTACTGAACAATTTCCTCAGTAACACAGGAATGGCTTTATATAAACTACAAGGATGTTCTTCATCTGTGTATAGCAGAGCCTTTTTTTTTTTTTTTGAGTCTCATCTATTTGAAATTTTCCTTTTTATACAGAAATTATCCTTAACAGGTCAAAACATTGTCCTTGCTACATATTCTGTACACGCCTGAAAAAAGAACCTCAGCAGTGACAATGGAACAATGATAACTTTAACAACAGCTGAGAATCTGTTGGAAACACATGTAAACTACCACAATATTTTTCTATTTTGCCATTCTGATCTTGTTTCTCAATTCCTTGATTAATTTTTACAGATACCAGTCTTGGACGAACTACTTTCAGCAAATTTATGATTACTGATAGTACTGGATTGAAATCACCCTAGTGCTCCACTGAAAACAAGCCATCGCGCTATTTCCATTAAGAGCAAAGTGCAGTTTTGAGGGTACAAACATATTATGGAACATACAGTACAAAAATGTGCATTGAAGAATCAAGTGATGGCCTGTCAATAACTTAAATGTCAAAACAGACTTGAAAGCCACAACAACTTCTAATTAATCGGCTCAAAAATAAAGAATTAAAATTATTGTAGATACTGCATCTTGTACCATTCTTATGGTTTACTAAAATTCCCACGAAGATAGCTGTTGCTTCTCTGTTAAGACCTACACAAATTATTTCAACAGACTGACTGGCCATACAGTACAAGTAATAAAAGGGACCATAACAAAAATGAACACAAATAGGTATTTTTCCTCCATTTCTTTCCATCGCAAACATCTGAGGTGGAGTTGTAACTATAATAAACAAGTCAACAGATATATAAACAAATTACATTTCTACATTTATTTGACTCCTATGCTACCTTCCCCAGGGTGTCTTACAATAGAAGCCATGAGTCATAAAAAGAGATGAAATATTAAAATAAAATAATAAATGATAAAACCATGCTCCCTGCAGATTATGTCCCTTTCAAAAAGGAATGAGACTATGAGAAATTATGCTTTATCTGTTTCTACTGTAAAAATCAAGACATTTGGACACGGTGACAATTAATGTGTGTTATTTTAGATTTAAAAGGCAATTTGGGAAAATTAAAATGATGCTCAAGAAACAGCAAAAAAAGATAGGAGTGCGCCGACAGAGATTTTTGGGGCTGATACCGATAGCCAATTTTTAAGGAGGCATATTGGCTGATACCGTTCCAATTTCCAACACACATCCTGGCAGCATGGAGAGCTGCATGCAGCTGGTAAGTCTGTTGTGGTGAAAGGGGAGGGGGGAGGGAAGGGACATAGGGGGCAGATCAAGACCCCTGCAGTGAGGGAAGGACAGGTGCTGCCCTGCCAGGGCGGGGCGCAGGACGGAGCCGTGGCTTGTCTGGGGGGCACGGGGAAAGTGGGACAGCTCCCACTGCTACATGCATCCCGATCTGTGCGGGGCAGGCTGCCACTGCGGGCTGGGGCTGTGCCGGGCTCTTCTTGGCAGGGGTTGAGCCAAGGTGTGCTCGGGGCTGGCAGCACAGAGAGTAGGGGCTGCAGCCACCTCAAAATTCACCATAGTCCCTTCAACCCCTCCTCCCAGCACTGCCATCACCTGCCCCGAGCGTAGCCCGGCCCAGCCCTGCTGCCGGGAAGAGCCCAGCACAGCCCCAGACTCAGCCCCAGCCCACAGCGGCATCCCATTCTGCCCCGCCATGCACATGGGCACAGATCCAGGGGCACACGCACCACCCCCCGCCATGGCCCTCCCAGGGTGCGTGCACTGGCAGGAGTCACCCCCTCTCCCTCCATGCCCCCCTGATGACCTGGGGCTCTATCCTGCACCCTGCCCGTGCAGTGCCTGCCTCTGCCTTGCCCCAGCCCCACTCCTTCCCTCACCAGGGGGGCCGTGATCTGCCCCCCACACACTTTTCCTCCCTCCCCTCTCCCCTTCCACAACAGACTGATCAGCTACACGCAGCTCTTTAAGCTGCTAGGTTGTGTTCCTCGTCACCTACGTGCTGCGCTGCAGCTGTGCGCGTGCACGGGCCATTTACTGACCACATTAATCGGCTACATCAGGCCGATTTCCAATACAGACAACTTTCTTTACATCAGTGCCAATCCAATATTGCACCAATGTATCAGTGCGCCTCTAATAAAAAAAAAAAAAAAGTCACCTACTTTTACCCAAGTCTATACAGATATGAATGGACTTGCTAGTTTCCCTTGCATAATAATAAACTCACCTGCCACATTCTTTTTCTGGCCAGTTCTTCTATTACCAGCTGCCAAGTTGATTTATCAAGTTCTTCTTGCAAAAGATTCTTAAAGATGGAAGAAAACTTGTGTATACTAACTTTTTCACCTAAGAGAAAAAACAGAAACGTGTTTAAGTGTGTAGCTTCCCCTTCCCCCCACCTGTGTTCTACAACTGTAGGAATCCATTTTACAAGAACAATTTTACAGTATTTATCATAACACAGCAAATAAGAATACACCACTTTCACATAATTAAAAATGGCAATATCTCATCCCTAATTAGGAAGGATGCACCGTTTTTACTAAAAAATTAACCAAGTGCTTTGGAAAACAAATCTCCACAACCCAAGTTTTCCACCAATTTTTCTACTTGCAGTGAACGCACAGAGATCTAGTGATCAAACTCACTAGGGTAGGAATAGGAATCCTCAGAAGCATGTGGAGGACAGTCCCTGCCTGAAGGCAGCTTGCTGGTCCGTAAACTCTTGTCTGAGCTTGTAACAGACCACTGAGCAAGAATGACTCAAAGAGAAAGAGGGAACAGAGAAAATTGGGAAGAAGGAGATTGGATGCTCCCACTGAAATAAGCATTTGGAGGATAGGAAAGGCCAAAGCTTCCCCTTCCAATTGCTGTCCGTGTGGGGTTTTCCCCTTGCTCTGGGAGAGTATTATACAGCTTAATGCCCTCCACTATAAGTTTCTCCTGATACAAAGGCTTTTCTCTTCCTTTGTTATTCCTAGTCACATTATATTCCTTAGTTATACCTCATCACAAAGGAGAACAGTGTGGTCTGGAAAAAATCAACACAGCATGAGGACTGCAGCAGGGGCACCATTCCAATTCTGATTTTCCCACAAGGCAAGTCAATTAATTCATCTGGTTGAGCCCCTACCCCCAATCTGTAAAGTGTTGTGGAGAAAGCTTAGACAGCATGTTGCAAGGATTGCCTGGTTAATTACTGTGCTCTGAAAGCCCTGTAAAAATAACTGTTAATGAATTATGGTTCTGCTTCCTACTTGCTGACAACATTCTGATATTTGTAAATGTATCATTACCATCATAAGTTACTGTTCAACTAAATTATACTTTTGCCGAATGCATTAGGTAGCATTTTCTCTAAATTACTTTTCATTTTTCTTTTCTACCCATATTTCTTTTCAGATCCCTTTGTATTTTGTGTTGATTGGTGTCTGCACTGCAACCCAATTTAGTGTCATCTGCAAGTTTCCTTCACATTCTGTTTATATCTTTTTCCAGATCATTAGTAAAACTAATTAAGGCTGTATTCACATGATGTTAAATAAGGCTGTATTCATCTGATGACCCCGAGTACTACTGAGCATCCATAACTCCAAATCAAGCTGGTGAGAAAAGTGAATGTTCAAAATCTCAGATTTTTCCTCCAATTTGTCCAATTATTATTTATTATTGATCTGCATCCAAAGCCCATCAAGGTTAATTGAAAGATTTGCTTTTGATAGGGTTTGGAGGTAGGTCTTTGCATGTAAACTTTTAAAAGTTGGACAAATGACTAGGGAGTATTGCTTGGGCATGAAGGGATGAAATCAAGAAAGCCAAAGTGCAGTTGGAGTTGCAGCTAGCTAGCTAGGGACATGAAGGGTAACAAGAAGAGTTTTTACAAATATGTTAGCAACAAAAGGAAGATCAAGGAAAGTGTGCGTCCCTTACTGAACGAGGGAGGCAACCTAGTGACAGAGGATGCAGAAAATGCTGGTAGTATTTGATGTCTTTTTTACCTCAATCATCGCAGGCAAGGTCAGCTTCCAGACTATTGCACCTGGCAGCATGGTTTGGTAGCCAGCAGTGGCAAAAAACAGATTAGGGACTCTTTAGAAAAGATGGACATATACAAGGGCCAAACATGATGCACCCAAGGGTGCTGGGGGAATTGACCAATGTGATTTCAGAGCCACTGTCCATTATCTTTGAAAACTCATGGCAATCAGGAGAGGTCCCAGGCAACGGTAAAAGGGCAAATATAGCGCCCAAATGTAAAATAATATAGGGCAAATATAGTGCCCACCCCTATCCCTGGAAAAATCATGGACCAGGTCCTCAATCAATTACTAAGCACATGGAGAAGTTGGAGATTAGGAACAAATCAGCATGGATTCAACAAGGCAAGTCATGCTGGACCAACCAGACTGATTTCTATAACAAGATGACTGGCTCTGTGGATGCGGGGAAAGCAGTGGACACGATACACCTTGATTTTAGCACGGCTTTTGATACAGTTTCCAATAACAATCTTGCAAGCAAGCTAAGGAAATACAGGTTAGATGAATGGACAGTAAGGTGGATAGAAAACCGGCTGGCTCCTCAGACTTAAAAGGTAGCAATCAATGGATCAATGTCTAGGTGGCAGCCAGTATCAAGTAGAGTGCCCTAGAGCCGGTTTTGCTCAGTATCTTGATCAACAACCTGGAGGATGAGATAGAGTGCACCCTTAGCAAGTTTGCAAATGACACCAAGCTGGGGAGAGTAGTAAATATGCTGGTGGGTAGGGCTAGGATTCAGAGAGACCAAGACAAATTGGAGGATTGGACCAAAATAAAATCTTATGAAGTTCAATAGGGAGAAGTGTAAAGTCCTGAATTTAGGACAGAACAATCCCATGCACCAGTACAGGCTGGGGATGACTGGCAAAGCAGCCAGTGGACAATAAGCTGAATATGACCTGACAGCATGCCTTTGTTGTGAAGGCTAATGGCATACTGGGCTGCATTAGTAGAAACATTGCCAGAAGATTGAGGAAAATGATTATTCCCCTCTATTCAGCACTGGCGAGGCCACATCTGGAGTACTGTGTCCAGTTTTGGGCCCCCATTATGGAAAGAATGTGGGCAAATTGGAGAGAGTCCAGAGGAAGGCAGCAAAAATGGCTAGGCGACTGGGAAACATGACTTCTGAGGAGAGGCTGGGGGAACTGGGGTTATTTAATTTGGAGAAGAGAAGACCGAGGGGGGATTTAATAGCAGCCTTCAGCAATCTGAAGGGTGATTCCAAAGAGGAAGAAACTACACTGTTCTCAGTGGTAGCAGATGAGAGAAGAATGAGCAATGGTTTCAAGTTGCAGCACGGAAGGTTTAGGATAGATATCTGAAAAATACTCTCTCACTAGAAGGGTAGTAAAGCACTGAAACAGGCTACTGTAAGAGGTTATGAAATTTCCATGCTTGGATGTTTTTAAGACCTGACGAGACAAATCTTCAGCTGGGATAGTTGGGGATGGTCATGCTCCGAGCAGGGTGTTGGACTAGATGACCTCCTGAGGTCCTTTTGAACCTTCATTTTCTATGATTCTATACACAACAACATTCATAATCTTTTTTAAACTTCCCAAAACAAATTTTGAAACACGCAAAAGTACTGAATTATAATATGCCTCTACTGCATTCATAGTTTCATAGTTGGTAGGGTCTGAAGGGACCTGAGCAGATCAAGTCTGACCCCCTGCCATGGGCAGGAAAGAATGCTGGGGTCAAATGACCCCGGCTAGGTGATTATCCAGCCTCCTTCTGAAGACCCCAAGGGTAGGAGAGAGCACCATTTCCCTTGGAATTTGGTTCCAGATCCTAGCCACCTGACTGTGAAGTAGTGCTTCCTGATTCCTTACCTCCCTAACTTTGCAATTCTGTCCATGAAAAAGCAAGTAAGTTTGCCTGTGAAGGTTTAGGTTGCTTATGACTAGGGGTGCACTGATAGAGATTTTGGAGGGGAGGGCAGATCAACGCCCCCCACAGTGAGGGAGGAAGGGGGCAGGGGCAGGTGCTGCCCGGGGGGGGCTCTGAGGCTCTTCTGGTGCCATGTAGGACTCTTCTCAGCGGGGGTGAGTTTGAAGCAGGCGCTGGCAGGGGCCTGCAGCCACCCAAAATTTTGCCACAGCTCTGTTCCCAGCACAGTCTCAGCTCTTCCCAGTGTGTGGGTGGAGGCGGGACATGGAGCCAGGCTGTGCTTGGCAGCACGGGGCTGGGAATAGAGCTGCGGCAAAATTTGGGGTGGCTGCAGCCCCTCCCAGCTGAGAAGAGTCCCACGCAGCACCAGCTCCAGCCCACCCACCCTGCGCAGATCCAGGGGGCAACCCCCCGCAGCCTCCTGGGGTTCAAACAGCAGCAGGAGCCACCCCCCCGCAGAAGCTGTACCTCCACTCTGTGCCCCCGCCCCGCCGTGGGCAGCACCAGGCCCTTTCCCCCTCCCTCCCTCACCGTGGAGGTGTTGATCTGCACCCCCTTACCTCCCTCCTCCCCTTCCGACTTACCAGCTGGAGGCAGCTCCCCATACTGCCAGCTCTTTTTGGCCAAATTATTGGCCCCGTTGTGCTGATATCCAATACAGCAAATTTTCCTTATATCAGTATTGATCCGATATCGGACCGATGTATCAGTGTAGCTCTACTTATGATTCAAGGAACTATTTCCCCATCAATAATTTTCTCTTTACATCTGCTACCTTGACTTACTAGGGATAAAAGTGACACTTAAAAAGGTGGCAGCTGCCAAGACAATTCTTCTTCCTTTGATTTGAAAAGCAGCATTACATTTGCCTGCCTTCCAGTCTTGTAGTACTTCCAAGCTTTCTGTTTCCTTAGGCTCAGATTAGATAGTTCCAAAACCCTAGCTCCCACATTCATTAACCTTAACAATCCACTCAAAATCGGAATAACAACCCATTTTAAAACGTTCCCTTTCTTTTAGTGTTCCAAATGGACTTTCTCTGCAGGACTTAGGCAAAATGTTTTATTTTTATTTGTTTTTAAAACAAACCATTGCCATTTTGATTAATCCCTCCACGTGACTTAGCTGATAGCAATCAAAGTTGTTAACATTAAAAAAAAAAAAGCATATAAAACTAAAAAAGCCCACCCGATATTTCTTAGCAAGTTTTTTGCAAAGTTCTGGGGGGAAAAATTCTCAAGCAACTGTAACTGCAACACTGTTGGGATACTTCAGAGGGATAACAGTCAGTTCCAGAGTGTCTTGGGTACATGCAACTCTGTCATCTACAAATTGGGTTGAGGCTGTTCAGGTGATCTGATAGGCCATTCAGATATTAACGACTTTCCGTTGTGACCCAAGCAGATAGTGACAAAAGTTAAATGTTCTCATGAGGAATGCTCCATTTATTTTTTCTTATCCTTACTGAATGAATAATAATAATACAAGTCTGAAGTCCACTTTACCATTAATACACATGAAGATTCCGACTATAAAATCAACCTTTTGAGACTGATCCTGAGAACCACGGAGACGAATCAAACCCTGAATAAAGAGACCAACTGCATAATCGGGTGCTGACAACTTAAACTTTGAAAAGCCGGCTCTGTAGTAGGCCTGGAGGAGGGGGGAGGTAAGGGGGAAGGGAAAAAAAATAAAAAGGAGAGAGAAAACATTGTTATGGTACCTAAATTTAGAAGATTGGGGCCCTATCTCTGAAATTCTTAAACATAGCTATTAGCAACCTTACACAGAGATTTCTGACTGAATACGGTTTGAAGGATATGGCTGTAAAGCCATAAAAATAAATGTTCAACATTACTAATTATATAAGTAGTTGGTCTAATAAAAGATATCAGATGTACCCAAAGGACCTTGTCTGTCTGAAAGTAGTTCAGACATTTGTAATAATTGCCTGGATTTGACATACCCACAAAACTAACATCATTGGCATATTGAATGCTTTTGTAAATAACAGCATGGGAATTTCATTCTACTGTATTTATAGTTTCCTTATACCTGGATATGCCAGTTCCATTTAAAATACAGTATTAACATAATCCCTGTTGTAATTTTTTTTTAATTTACATATATATATTCAGCTACTGTTTTGGCATCTTGAAATTATTTTCTCACTCCTCTTGCAAGATGTCTTACCTGTACACTGAATCTTAGAAAAAAGAATCCAATCTTTATTCTCGTTTAGAAATAAAGTTGCCAAGTACTGCTAATACCTTGTGTTAAATGTACAGTACCTTAATAAATGATGGATCCCAGCTGAGGCTTTCCTGGGCTAAGTGATATGCATCTTGCCATTTACCCAGACAACAGAAGGCAGTTGATTTGCTGCAAAGTAGTGTGGCCATCTCCCTCCGAGAACAGCTAAGTTAAACAAATACATCTTTAGTCTTTTTCAAGAGATATATGGTAGGTTATTGAAGGCTTTAACACACACACACACACACACACACACACACACACACACGTGAAAACACATTTAGAAAACACATTCTAAAAAGACACAAAGTCCAACTGTAAAAATCACTTTTTGATTGTACACTGAATTTATAAGTTAAGAAATACCAAAGTAAAGTTCGTGCGTGCACAACTAACTTCACCTTTTCTGGTCATGAGTTATAATATCGCCAATTTTCTGATGGCACACCTTTCCTCACGTTTAATATATTTCTTCCATTTCATCTGGAGAATACTGAAAATACCATAGATTGATTCAACCGTACAGCATAGTTGGCTGCATGACCAGGTTTAAACGTATGAACAGACATGAACTGAAGGTGCCAAATGATAAAGGAAACCCAGTATATTTTGGTAACCAGAAAGCTAACTTAAAATATTAGGGTAGATCTCTAGTGGATGCAAAGTAGCATAACTCATGGAAATAATCAGAGCTATTCAAATTTACGATAGCTAAAGATCTGGCCCATCTTCTTTAAAAGAATTATTAATGTCAGAGAATCAAGAAAGAACTAAATAAGATTCTTCGTCTAGACATTACAGACAAAGCTTCAGGCACAGGAACAGGACAGAGGAGGATGTAGGATAAAAGTCCTGGTTTTGTCTTAAATCTCTGTGCCCTCCAGTCCCTACTCCTTATAAGACTGTTAGGATATATTCACCAATAGCTATGAGGTGTTCAGATATTAGTTTTGGGGACTAGAATGAATATAAATATGGACAGAGTAAATAGGTATTTATTAGCAGGCTTAAAATAGGTATTTATTACTAAACTTTGGGAATGGAAGGAGTACCGATTCATAACTGTCATTCTAGAGTCAAAAGAGCTCCTCAAATTCACCTAGGATTGCAAGGACAGACATTAAAAAACATTTCTAAAAAACCAACAAAAGAATAGTAAAATGATGATACTTGCTGAGTTACTCACGTTTGTCCATTTATATGGGGCCTATTAAATTCTTAAAGCATAGAAACATTTCAAAGGGCCCAGCTACACATTCAAATTAAAGCTGGATAGAAAGCAGCTACAAAGTTGTTACACATTTTCAAGCACTACCTTTATAGCTGCTGGCTCTTTTCAGCTGGCTAGTCATTTTTATCGTGTGATAATTATTTTCCATGTGTGGCTGATCTAAATTTATTGTGCAATTAAAAGGTTAAATTGTGTGACAATTACTTTGCACTTGTGTCTGGTCTTACTTTACTTGTGTGACCAGTTTAAATTAATCTCATGACTAACCAGCTAATTGCATAATATATGTAACGTGTAGCAGGGCCCTAAGTGTAAGCAGTGTTACTATTAAACACAAAAACTCCAAAACCACAGATAGGACCAGTGGCAACCCGTAGGGGGGTGCACATGTACCCCCTGAGAGCGCTGGTGCAGCCTCTGACAGCTAGCGCTCCCCACTTAGGCGATGGGAAGGAGGGGCAGGAGCGCTGGTGCCCCCCCACCCCCCGAGAGCGCCGGCCAGGGAGTGGAGGCTCCAGAAAAAGCGCTGCTGGCACTTCCGGGTCAGCACGATCAGCCGCAGAGGGACCTCCCTGGTCACTGACTGGCCGCTGTGGGGGCAAGTGCCCCCCTTGACTCAGGAGGCACCAGTTGCCCATGGATAGTACAGCCCAGGCACAGAAAGCTCAAACATCTGTCTTCATAAAAGCTTATAATGTATAATCTTTGCAATATGCCCTGAAAGTCAAGGCACTAATACTCTGAAAGGCCAAGGAAGGTAATATATTTGAGTTCTACAGCTTCTGAACTTGTCCTGGCTCAGCTCCCCAGGCTTGGTTGGAATAGAATAAAAGGTGGTAAACTTTGGTTCTGTTCACCCAGAAACATCTGCTGCCTCTCGCACACGGTGCAGACTAAGGGTCAGAGCATATCAACACCTTGAATTGTACCTGGAAACTCATTGGTAATGAGTTCAGTCTTGGTACATGCTCCATATGTTCCTGTTATATAAGCAGGGAACTGCATAAGAAGATGCTTCTGAGTGGCTGGAGTAGTGCTGAATTAAAGCATCCACATTTTATATTTATTTCCATTATAGAAAAATTTTGTTTGCTCCTCATAATACATTAGTGCAAGCAGAATCATCAGAACTGCAGTGCATGGGGCACTAATACCAAAGGAGCACCTTCTGGCCATCCATGAAGAAATGACAGACATCTGCTGACTGTTCTTCCTCATTTCCAGCTGCTAGGTTGAACTCGAAGATGGCTACAACTACATTCAACCCGTTAACATTCTTTTTCCACTTAAGCAATGGCTGCAGTTGCCAAAAGGATGCAGTGAAACTGCAGAAGGTCCGAGAGAATCTCTCTGTGTTAAGATGAAGGAAGCCCATTCTGTGAGAGAGTTTAAGCCCTCAGCTAAGGCAATGAAAACAGACTGCTCAGTTCTCTCTCTGCTCCTAGTCGTGTTTCACCTCCTGAATCTAGTCCTCACTGAATAACATCTGAGTCAAAAAATACAGCAAAAGGAAATGTTTAAAATGCATCAAAAAGTAACAATATTAATATTGTGGTTATTAGTAATGTTAGTGCTACCATTTATGATCATTTTAACAAGAGCACCAATCAAGAAGTTAGGGGGGAGGGGAGCGCAAGGTCCTATCCCATTTCAGTAACTATAAATCCCAAACATTCCCTCTTCTAAAAAACTTAGCTATAAAGTGATATAGAAGATGAGAGAGAGCAATAATAAAAGTAAGAGTAAATATTGGTATTAGTATTTATGTATAAAAGGGTATCAAATGTGCACACTGTGTTATAAACAAAAAGAAAATATTTGTAAACCAAATGTTGTTATATAGGCTATACTTAGGCATGGAGCTCCATTTAAAAATTACTTTTTCCCCAGCAAAAACTTGTTTTCAGATTTAAAAAAACAAACAAACAAAAAACTCTATTTTGATGAAGAGATAAATAATTCAGTACATTCTCTATTAATATTAAGCTCTAGAATTGTTTTTAAAATAAACCTGAAAATAAGCCCTCAAATACTGAGGCTTGAGAACAAAAACCTTCATTCTTTCTCCCCAAAATTCAAACCTGACCAAGACGCACATGAAACAACTGGCAGTGTCCACACAAGCATTCAGGAACAGATAGGTAGTATATTTTTCATCCTGCTAAATTCAGTAGGATGTTTGAAAGCAAGACTTGTGGTTTGAAAGACATTAAATCAACTCGTAAATAAAAAAAGAAAAGAAAAAAGTACAACTGGATGGCAGACTGTACAGAGATTTTGCTGATAATGAAAGTCAACATGATTTGGTTTTAAAGGTATAGCTATGGTTAGTTATTGTTAATGGTGAGTCATCTGAGTACAGAACTCAAAGCTTAAGATTTTCAGCAAAATCTATCAGTGATTCTTCTGCTTATGCCTCCCCTTCTTCTGCAGACCCCATTTGGAGATAAAAATACTTTCACTTTTGCAGTTTCATTCTGTGAGTTACTAAAGGATTACTTGGACCATTAGGGGTCCACAGACCAGAGTTTGAGAACAACTATAATAGTTTAAACAACATGAAATTCAACTTCAACTTAGCCGACGAGAGGCAGAAGCTTTTTTACTGAGCACCACCACCAACAAGCAAAGTTAAATGTTTTTGCTTTTTTTTTTGAACCTGGAGATCAGAGCAACTTGCACCAAGGATTTTAAAAGAATTAGCTCAGTGCTTTGTGTTAGTTTTGAATACCAAGTAGAACTATGCTGGTTGAATTATGAGGGTTATTATGAACCTAGATAGCATGAGAGAGGCATTGGAACATTATGTCCAGTTTTCAAGTCAACAATTCATAAAGGATGTTCAGAAAAGAGCTACAAGAATGATTCAATGCTGGAAAATCTCCCTCACAGTGACAGACTAAAAGAGAAGGTTTCAAGCTGACTTGCGCGTGATATATAAAGTATCCATATGGGGAAAAGGTTTCTGATAGTAGAACATTTTTAAACTAATAAATAGGCATTAACAAGGTCAAACGGGTGGATGCTGAAGCTAGATTCAGATTAGAAATTGGGAGCAATTTTTTAACTTTAACCAAAACCCAAACATTTATCTACAAATTTACCTACAGACACAGCAGTTTCACCATTATTTGTAGTCTTTAAACTAGGGTTGCATGTCTTCCTGAAAGTTATACTGCATCTTAACCAGATTTATGAAGGAATAACATAAATCAGGCTCCCTCTCCACCAACAATATGGCATGATGGGATCTGATGTTCAACCCCACAATGGTGCCTCCTGCCAAGCAGGAGTAGCATGACAGGAAGCACAGTTGTTGGGATTGCACATCATATCCTGTTGCACCTTCTTTTTAACATCTGCCAGTGGCCTAATAAAGGCCAGCTCACAAGAAAAATTTATAATCAAAGGGTTCTTTTGCATAAGAAAGTTGCACTCTTTTATATAAAATTGTTTTTTAAATTGATTCAGATAACCTATAGAAACCCTAATGTGGACAGGTTTATTTCATTTTAAGAGCATTTTGTTTCAAGTTGACTTAAATGTGTTTAGGATGAACTGAAATAAGGTCCTCAACCTGAAGTAAAGCATCCTCATATGAGCTGGCCTCAGTTTAGCTCAACAGTTTTAATTTTATGTCTTAAGTTAACCAGTGCTTCTACTTTGTGAAGATATACTATCATAGAAGGTAGGACATGCTAGCAAATGCAGAGATGTGCAACTTTTGCATACAAAACTAGCAGTGTTCAACCTGCTGGCCCCACAGGTCAGATTTCATAGACATTAGGCCTGGAAGGGACCTTGAAGATCATCAAGTCCAGCCCCCTGCCCCAGGGGCAGGAAGTCAGCTAGAGTCAAAGGATCCCAGCAAGATAGGCATCCAAATGTTTCTTGAATGAGTCCAGAGTAGGTGCCTGTACCACTTCTGGAGGGAGTCTATTCTGGGCCTTAGGGCTTGGACAGTAAAGAAGTTTTTCCTTATGTCCAGCCTAGAACGGTCTTGGAGGAGTTTAGGACCGTTAGTCCTTCTTATCCCTCGGGGCGCTCTGGTAAACAGACAATCTCCCAGATCCTGATGCACACCCCTTATGTACTTATAGGTAGCCACCAGGTCACCCCTGAGCCTGCGCTTTTCCAGGCTGAAGAGTCTCATAGCTCTCAGCCTCTCTTCATAAGACCTATTTCTCTTGCCCTCTGATCATGCATATGGCTCTCCTCTGGACTCTCTCAAGCTTCTCAACATCCTTCTTGAATTGTGGAGCCCAGAACTGGATGCAGTACTCCAGCTGCAGCCTCACCAAGGCTGAGTACAGCGGGGAGATGATACTCTGAGATTTACTTGAGAAGAATCCATGGATGCAAGCCAGAATTTTGTTTGCTTTACCAGCTGTGACATCGCATTGGTGGTGCATGTTCATCTTCTGGTCAATCATACCCCCAAGTCTCTTTCAGCCATGGTGCTAGTGAGCGTAACACTGCCAAGCCTATAAGCATGCTGTGGGTTCCCCCCCCCCATCCCCTGAGGTGGAGTACCTTGCATTTTTCAGTATTGAATGTCATCAGGTTTATATCCGCCCACTTTCTAAGCTCATCCAATTTGTAGCATGAGGCCAGAACCCACGTTGTGTCAGCATGTAGAGTGGTCTGCAGATGCGATCTTGTGTGCGGCTCAGCCCTGTGTACCAGATCCAGTCACAGACTGGCCCCAAACACCGGCCACAGCCTAGTTCTCTATGTAGGAAGAGGCCCCTGAGTGACTGTGTGGTCTAGTACACAGGCCCATGTCATCCAGCCTGCAGGTCTTCCCATAGGTGCACAAATTGGTGGGGGAACAGTGGTAGCATTTGTTGCTGTGGCTCTGGAAGCCATGGCAGTTTAGGCTGCCACCAAATTTGTTGACCCATGAGAAACTCCATGAACTGGATAGCACAGCCTCATGGGCCAGATTTGGCACATGGGCCAGGGGTTGAGCACCGCTGTTTAAGACGCTTCTTGTTTGGGCAGCAGAACTGATCCTTTAAATGGGAACATGATGAGGAGAGGGAGAATGTCAGACACGATTACATTTTTGTCCAGAATTAATGCAGGACAAAGCTTTTGTGGCATGTTTCCATAAGACAGAAGAAAAAATATTCAGCAAAATGACACAGTCCCAGCTATTTAAACGTGCTGGAAAGTATTTGACATTTAGACTTGCTTTCCAAAGAGTCAAAAAGGTAACTTCTTCACCTAACAAAATCATTGAAAAACTAAAACAAAAGCCTGAGGTTTGCTGATTTCACCACCAGCTTCACTGAGGCAACACAAATTCAGAAAAATGAAAATGCCCAGGGTCAGCTTTGTGTTAGAGAAGTTCTCATTGGACTATTGTGCCCTAGCCTGGCTAGCCAGAGAAGTTAGACTCAATACCCTATCACACCTACATAAAGATTACCTTTATATTGCCTCTAGGTCTTTAGTAAAGCACAAGGTGGAAGAATAAAGAGAACAGCTTAAGACAATAGGACAAAAGACTACTACACCTTGTAAAGGCAGAAACAAAACTCCTTCCATTCACCCAGCAGAAAAGGGTAACTGGAAGAAGTGTTTCTCCTGAGGTATGTACAGCTCCTCCCAGCATGAGTGCAATTAAAGCCCTGCCCCTTTCTCAGAGCAGTACTTGAGATCAGAGACTAGCCCAACATCAGCAGAAAGAGCCAGAATGAGAAAAAAAAAGTAAGTAAACAATAAACAGTTTGGTTAAAAGTTTAAATTACATTTACTGTAAATTTACAATATTTCTTAACACTTGTATAGAGTTAGCAAGGTAATAGCTAGTTAATCTTCACAACATACAATTCAAATTATATCATCATCATCCCCATTTTACTGTTCAGGAGGTTAAGTAGCCAGCCAAGAAACATAGGGAAGTCATCATCAGGACAGAACCAGAGCTCTTGCCTTCTGCTGTGCTCTGACAGCTTGGACACTTCACTTTCAAATTCAAATGTACTGTCTCCTACATTAGTTAAATACTTACAGCCCCATTTGGCATAACTGGAAGGACACACAGATGGCTTCATCGTACTTCCTGATGGCCAAGGAATAGTTCCCATTTTTAAAATCCTGATTCCCAGCTTTTTTCATAGATTCTGCATATAGCATGGGATCCATGTTAGCTGAGAACAGAGGAAACAGAGAGAAATCAAAATCCTGAGCCCATGTATACCATTCCTCTCCTCCTCCCCACTCCTGAGAGAGAAAAACCTAATAAATGCTCACATAAACAGTATTTCTTTTTAATACATAAAAGGACCTGTTTTTCTTATGACCTTCAGAAGTTGTCCACAATCTGAGGATTAGATCTAAATGCCCTTTTGCAACTGCAATTCACTTTTATTCTGGAGTCCTCTAAAACAGCATTTCTCAAACCATGGGTCACGAGCAAAAAGCTGGTAGCAAGAATATATGAAAGGGTCGTAAACAAACTTTAAAAATAGATCCCTCTTTAAACAAGAAAAACATTGGAAACCGAGTTCCATGCCTCCCCCCCCGCCCCACACATTGACCCCCTACCCCACACACAGGGGGCCTGGAGCTGGCCATCAGTGTTTAACAAATGGGTCCCGATCAAAAAAAGGTGAGAACCACTACTCCAAAACATTCATCTTGGATTTAACACAGCCATTCATTAGAAGCAAAACCACAAGATATCTTCTCCCCTCTCCCCTGCAGCTGAGAATCATAACGCCATTTTGAACCAAATCTTTCTTCTGATCTTTTCTCATGTCTCATTTTCTCATGTTTTGTATCAACTTCAAGCAAAGACATTTAGTTCTCTGGCTGGTAAACTTTTTGATCACTGTTGTCATTTAAAGAAAAAAAGAAGACAGGTTTGGTTGTTTCTAAATAAGGTTTTAATTTATGTAAATGTATACGCATACCCTGGAGAGAATTAGACTTGGTCAAATAAATTACATTTGTTGAAAAATGGGAAATAATAAGTATATTTTCCCAAGTTTTAATCTACATAGCAGAACTGTATTATATGATATTATGATAGCCTAAAATATTGCCTTACAAACATATAAGTTCCATGCTGAGAAGTTTAAATCTGTTTTAAAGTTAAGACATGAGCACTGAACATAAACAAAGGGGAGATAAAAAGGTAGTACTGACAGAAAGCCAACCCTTTAAAGCAAAAAAAACAGGAAATATTCACAATTTAAAATTGGAAACTAAATTTCCCATGCTTAACTGAATTAAGTGTACAGGTAGTTAGGTAGCAGGTTAGTAAAACTGTATTAAAATAGCAAAATATACCTTGGAAAATACCAGTCTCCCCCCGCCCCCCTCCAAAAAAAAAAAAAAAAAAAAAAAAAAATCACAAAGAAAGAAATTGTAATTTTGAAAGTTTCAAGTAGGATCTTCTTTCAAGATTGAACTTCTGTAATTAAACAAAGTATTGCAGAGCATTTCCATCTTGCAAATCTGAGTATAAGGAGAGCAAAAAAACAAAAATACAACCAAGGAAAACACTGCCAACAGTAGAGGATGCAAGATGCAAGAAAGGCCAGGTTAACCAAAATAGAGTGTAACAGTGTATATCATGTACCAATGGCTAGCTTCATGACAGGAAAACACTAACAAGTCATTTTGGGGAATGTATATATGTATGCGACCTTAATAATACAGAAAGTAACCAAATTCAAGAATCTTATCTAAAGCACTGGCACAGACTCCAAAACCATCTCAAGTGCTGAGTAGAGCAATAAATTAAAAAACAAACAAACAAACCAAAAACACATCACTAAATTCTAAGAGGCTCCAATAGGGATCTATTCTTTTTTATTATTAATCACTAAGGTCCCACCCCTCTCCCCTTACTTGGGCTCAGCAGCAAAATTATGCTCAGCTTAAAATTGTAAGAATCAGGCTCCCTATTAACACTTGCCCCATGGTGACGGTGCATGGGAAAAACCAAACAGGACAATTCCACAAGAAAGACAAGCTTGCAAGATTCATTTTTTGTTTGTTTGTTTGTCTACAGACAAAAGCCTCTCACAGTGTTTAGGACCCAATCTTTATAATCTTGTTAGTGCCAAAAAACAACAAAAAGAAAATAGCTATAAACAAAACTAACTAATAGTAGGTCCCATCTACACTGGAAAGGCAACAGTTCTAGGAGGGATAACTGTCCCAGCACAGTTGAAGCATAGCTTCATTTTGCAGTTTCCATAGGACTTAAAAACATTTAAAAAAACCACGCCAAATGTGTCAGGGAAACAGATGTAGATGGGACCTCAGTTTCATTTCTCAAGCTGGGGAAATATAAAAATAAATAGGAAGCAATACAAACAGTGCAAATAATTAAAAAGTACCATATTTCATGGTGTACAGATCAATGCGGTATATACGTTGACCCCATTTTTTCGATTAAAAAAATTAGGATTTTCGTAAATCCAGTGTATAAGTTGACCTGCAGGCTTGGTGCTTGGCTGGCACAGCCCAGGCTGCATCTATTGACGTCCCTTCTGACCCTAGCATCTATGAAACTTGCAGGGGCTGGGGCCAGGTTTGGCTCCTGGCTGGCATGGCCCAGGCCATGCTGCTTGCAGAGGCCAGGGCCAGCGCTGCCTCAGCCACACCAGCAGGGCCCCAGCCCCAGCAAGTGGCATGATAGAGGTAGGCCAGCCAGGCTTCAATCACTAATGTGTGCAAACAGGGGGCAGAGAAGGCAACCAGCTCCAGCATGCACAACTTCCCCCAGTGACACAAGTCCCAGCAGAACTGTACACCACAGGGCAGCAGCGCCTGCACAGGCCACAAGTGCCCGCCACTTGCCGTGCACCATGGGGGACAGTGTGTGGGGGATCCCCACAGCCCCCCACCTTGCCTCACACCCCACACATCTACACCCTGCCCACCCAAGTTCCACGCTCCCACTGCCCCACTGAGAGCAGGCTTCACACTCCTGCCATCCTCAGCCCCATGCCCTGTGCTGCAGCAGGGAGAAAAGGAGCTGTGGGACACTGGGGAAGCCAAGTACCCTGCAGCAGCCCTGCCCAGAAGCTGCGTGCTAGATACAGTGTGTAAGTCAAGGTGGAATTTAAGGGTCAATATTTGGGTTTCAAATCTCAACTTATACACCATGAAATATGGTAAATATATTTTAAAATATATTGTTATCTATATTACAAGAAGCCCTTTCATTGAAACAGAAAATGCAGGAATCGGCATCTCTATCTAACTTGAGGAACAGATAAAAATCATGATTTCGGGCAGAAAAATAAATCCTAAAATATTTCAGCTACAGAGGTGATCTCTTGATGAAGATTGTGTGCATGTCTTCAAACTGGCTCTGCATAGGTTACAATTTATGACTGTTGCTAGTGGTTCAATTTATCAAAGCTGGACTTTGGCAGGAGTTGATCTTGCAAGGGCTAATGCTGGAGCAAATTCCTAGGGTGGGGTTTTGGCTTTTGCTCAGGATTAAACTTGTTTATTGTAATATTACATATTTGTCAAAGGACCCATTTAAAATAATAATCAGCATTTAAAAACCGACCATTGACAAAGAACATTTTATCCAACAATATAGCAGACGACCTTTGGTTGCAACATGTTTATTTTTGTTACTGATTTTCTAATAAAGACAAACAGAGAGAAAGGAAGCCTACATGTGATAAACATGGTCAATATTATGCAAACAAGGGAAGCAAGTTCAAACACAATGAAAAACATTTCTTTTTCTTATGAAAAAAATTAAATTTAAAAAAGAAATATGCTGCTTCACAGGAGTGATGCCTACCTGAGTCTGATCACACTTGCAACTGCTTTATGCCAGTTGAAAAGAGTTCAAATAGGATCACATCTTCCCCCGAAAAGAAAGGAAGAAAAATAGTAAGTGAAGAGTAGGAATGAAAAACCCAATTGCTAAATTAAGGAGACTGTGACTGGAAAAAAAAAAAGCTAGGCTTTTGGTGCTAAAAGCAGAGGGAGAGCCCTTTTACACCTCCCCTGTCCTCTATGGCTGGCATAATGCCTACTCTCCCTACAGTTTCAATATTCTTTCTGTGTAGTTCTGACCCCCAAATTCCTTCCCCAACATTAACAACACTTTGCCTGGCATTAATCTGACCAACTACCTCCAGGCATTTTGCTTTTTAAATTTCTGTGACCTTCTGCACTTCCCGGTTCTATTCAAAAGAGGCAGTAATGAATGATGAAGTATATCAAAAAGGTCTATATAGCGAAGTGCAGAGAAATCTTGCAAGTTGCTTTAACAAATATTATATGGAACAGTTTTGTCTCAAAACACAGTTTCGTCAAAATCATAACGAATTGTGGGAAAGCGTAGATTCTAATAAATATTTCAATAAGAAAAATGTTGACATTTTGTTTACAGCTTTCATTGATGTGTATTTTGACTGTCACATTGTAATACTAGTTTATCTTTAATTTATGTAGTTTATTAAATAGTGCATGTTTGTGTGTGCACATGCATGTGTGAACATTAGTATTTGAATACAACATGAACAGGGGAAAAAAAACATTAAAAAGCTGAAGTGGAAATGAAACATTGTCAAAAAGGAATATGTGAAGGTCCTGAATTAAATGTTTCTTGAACTTTGACTTTGCAAAAAGTTTTGAAATTTCATCTTTTCATTCCAAATCAGAATTGTTTATTTCCCAAAAATGTTGGATTTCTCAAAGAACAAAAATTCTGCATCCTGCACACCTGTAACTGAGTTTTCAAAATCAGATACCACTGTATAATTAATGAGATTACAGTGTTCATCAGTGTTGACCACTGACTTCAGGGGGAGCAGGGTGGCTCCTAATCTGTAGATCCAAAAGGTCTGTATGTACATCTGACTCAGACAGCTAAGCACCAAATTTACCCAAATCCAAGGTGACTTTCAATGCAATTTATTATAAAGTTTTTCACGTACAGAATCTAATTATTGGAGGGTCATTTTAAAATCCCCACCACCACAACCATCACTGCAGTGGGGAAAGCAATGGCAGGGGAGTAGGCAAGGAGGCTAAATAGCCTGATACCCACCCCTTGCCCCCCCATACCTAAACACCCCACACCTGCCCTACTACCTGCCCCCCTGACGTATGTTCCCCACTTCTGTGGCTGAACTAGGTGCGGGGGGGGCACCAGAACTGCTCCCAAAGTACTAAACACAGTAGCTGTGCAGGAAGTCCAACCTGGCTAAGGACAGCAGCAGTGGTATGCAGGTTCCTTCTTCCAGCATCTGCTCTTTCCTTCCTCCCGCAGCTCGCTCTCCCTCCATTTCCCATTTCTCCCCTGCTGGCCAGAAACAGGCACTTGAAGGAGGAACCTGTAAATTATTGCCACTGTGCCCAGCTAAGCCAGGTTTAATACACAGCTGCTCCCTGTGAGAAGGAGGAGTGTCAGGTTTGACCTAGAAACCACTATACAAAGCCCAAGCAAAAGTCTCTGTTATGTAACTAATGCCCATCTGCAATGATAAGGAGGAGACAGTCTTAGATAAAGGAGGCTTGAAAACAAAAGCAGAATCAGAGGACTAGGGCAAAGAGCTAATTTAAATACTAAAAATCACGCCCCTAGGTGGGGAGAAAGTATGCTAATGAAACATACATGTATGTAAATGAGATACATAGCTAAAACACAGGTATAGAGACATGCTCAGTAAAGAACTCCTTGCGTCACTCCCTTATAACCAATTAGCAAACAAGAATGCTTATGAAGGTCCAATACTCCTGTATAAAAGATGCTTAGAATTAAGAATCTGTGTGCTTGTTACGTGAAATTATTTCGCTTGCACCTTGTATTGCTAGCAATAAATCTGCTTTATACTTTCACCCCTGGTATCTTTATTGGCCTTTGCATACCGGGCACAATCCCAGACTTGACCTGGGGCTCAACAGGAGGAGGAAGATTTCCGATAAAATGCCACTAGATAGTATTGGCAAAAATGTTGCTATTTCTCATGCCAACAGTGCCAAGTGTTATCTGGGAAACTACCAGCATGTAAAATGGCTTGGCCCACAGAAGTCAGCACAACAGGAGTGTAAAGAAGGGATTTTTAAATGAAACCTGGCCTCAAGGTTAATCTACTGGGTGAGAGATAGAACCCAAGTTCTGGACATCGCTGTCCTGTTGAGCATGGACCAGTTACTTACTCTTGGTGCCTCAGTTACCCACCTGTAAAATTAAAAAAAAATTTCTTTGTCCAAAACTTTACCTGTTTAGATTGTAAACTCACCATACTTTATTCTATTCATTTAGTGTCCAGTACAATGGCAGCCTAGGATCTGTAAAAAAAAAAAGAAGAGAAACAAAAACAAAAAAATGAGTAATAAAGAATGTCATGTATAGTTCATTTTCAGACAAAGAAACCACAAAGGAAGGAACAAAATACCATAAAGAAATATTAAAGTAAAAGCAGGTAGAAAAAACGCCTTTTATTTCCCTCCCTGTGAAACTATGTCACCTTTGTCGTGAAAGAAAAAGAAAAATCTCACCCCAGAACATGGCACAAATAAATATTTTTTAATAATATTGGTGAACAGAAATTGCTAATAGTATTTTATGCATGTATACTAGTGAGGTGTACTATGTTTCATATCATTTCTCATTTCTTAAGTATTCAGTCAGCACTGAAACCAAGGGAATTTAACTACTTTATCATGCTTCGTCAACATCATACCACAGTGAGTCAGTTAATGCACTATCAAATCCAGTAATACTAAACAAGATGCATTGCTATAATAGCTTTAAGGTTGACTACATATTTACATGGGGACCAAGTTGCAAACACAAAGTATACAGTTTGAAAGTCATCAGTTTAAATGCTGGTTTGTGACAGAGGTACCAAAAAGCTATTATGTTAGCATTTATCTCTAGATCTAGTATCTAGATAAACTCAGATATTCAAGTGGATAATGGTAATACAAATATCTAGACACAGTACATCATGAAAAAAAAAGTTATGGCAATATCATATATAATGGAAAACAGGAAATAAAGGAAATAATCTCCACTAGTTCAGATATTTTTTAAAAGGACTTCGTTGTTTTGCAGTCATGCTGTGTTGACTTTAAACCTTCACTTACAAAGTGGTTTTAATACAAGATCCATTCCTATGGAACATAAAATGGTGAGGGGGCTGGGGTGCATGACTTCTGAGGACCGGCTGAGAGACCTGAGCTTATTTAGTTTGGAGAAGAGAAATCTGAGAGGGGATTTAATAACATCCTTCAACTACCTGAAGGGTGGTTCCAAAGAGGATGGACCTACACTGTTTTCAGCAGATGATAACAAAACAAGAAGCAATGGTCTCATGTTGCACCAAGAGAAGTTTAGGTTTGATATAAGGAAAAACTCTCACTAGAAGGGTAGTAAAACACTGGAACAGGTTACCTAGAGAGGTTGTGGAATCTCCATCCTTGGAGGTTAAGGCCTGGGTAGACAAAGCCTTGTCTGATATGATCTAGTTAGGGATGGTCCTGCTCTGAGCAGAGGGTTGGACTAAGATGACCTCCTGAGGTCCCTTCCAACCCTAATGTTCTACGATTTTATATTTGTTTCTACAAGATACATGCATTTGGTACAGGCATAACACTATCTTGATCAAGGTAACTGGGAATGCAAGGATTTAAGTGCACCGAGCTAACTAAAAATCTTTCAGACTCCTTTGTTCTTCTGTCAAACTTTACTCTAGAAATGTACTAGTTAAATTGTTGTAACCACCATTCTTTGCATGTGCAGCATCCGTCAGAAACAAGACATATGTTCTTACTGAAGCTTGCAAATATACATTCTGTACCAGGGTACAGTTAGCACTTATGTCTCTATGGTGTACTGACACCTGGAATGTTATGTACAAAAAACCCAATGAGGAAAAGGTGTGCAAGATCTGTATTAACACAACTGGATTCTGGAAGCATTTCCATTTGTCATAAACAACTGGAATATTAATATTTACATCACCAGATCAAGCTCGGAATTAACAACAGCATAAAGATGCAACTGCTGCAAGACTGTTCTCCATAACTGGTTGCGAATAACCTTTTTATTTATGCTGATTTGTTAATAAATGATTGATCCTGGTTCTCCAATGTCTCCAATTCACTAACTACTGAAACCTAATAGCTGACACCTTCTTTTTAAGAAGCATCTATTCCTCACTGCTCACACACCAGAGAGGAAGTTCAATGGGGGTTGTTCCCAGCCAGACCTGGTGGTACTGAAGCACAGGATTCAGACTCCGAGTGGGAAAAATTACAGAATTTAATCTCAGGAGGGGTAAAGGAAAGGGGTGCACTGAGAGAAACCACACTCAGGTCAGGGATGCAGCTAGCCCTACAACTATAACAGTACCTTACATAGCAAGGGTGCTTAACTCCTGGCCAGTGTCAATGGCCCACAAGGACTCCTCAAGTGCTGGAAAATTTGGCAGTGGAGAACAATGGAAGCATTATTTGCTGCTCTGCTACTTCCATATTTCCAGACCCATGGGGAGCCCTCCAGGCCAGATAACATGGCTCTGCACACCAGATCAAGGCCAGCGCAGAGCCAGATCCAGATGCGCAGGGTCAGGCTAGCCTGCTGGATAACACCCATGGACCAACCTCACAAGGGATTGCCCACAGACCAACCTCTCACCACTCATCTGGCCCACAGAGCCAGAAGGTTGAACAGCACTGTTTACATGTGCCATGAGGAGTTCTATTGACAAATCAAAAGGACTACCTGCAGAATTAAGGTATCAGATTGTTTCCTTTAAAATGAAAGGTACCATAGATGTAGGAAGGAAACAGAGATCCAGCAAACATTAGTTATGATTTCCTTCTCCCACCCTGTCTTTTGATTATTTAAACTGCATTCATCTAGTTTAGACTGCAACACATCTTGCAAAGCCCTAAGAAAAATCTTACAGCATTTTAAAATCTACAACAACATAACACTAGTAAAATGCAAAGCATTGCAATTCTGCCAGTTCATTTCATAAGTTAAATGTGCATCTGATTACTTTAGCATTGTAACTATTCATACAATAGCATGCTAATAGTTCCTTGTGTTTTCTTTAAAAGATTTTTCTATGATCATTCTCTCTCCTGCACTTCTTCAACCAAACTACTGCTAGTGGATACGATCCCAAAGAAACTCGTGTCTATTCTAGTGACGATTCTTGGTCCTGTTATCAGAAAATATATAATGGAAACAGGAAATGGAACAGGATTTTTCCAGCTAGAAATGGAACAGGATTTTTCTTTTTAATTTCTAAATTACTTCCTCCCTATAAGAATGGCAAAAGGTGGCAATGTATATAAGCAAGTGTTGCACTGTACTAGAAAACTTTATACGTGTCTAGCATTTCTAATCTACTAAGAATTTTTAGAAAATGAGCTAGTACAGTAGTACATTATCCCCCACTTTATAAATGAGGGGAACAAGGCACAAAGACAAGATGGTCAACACATCAGTGGCGGTGAACCAAATCTCAAGATTCCTAGTCCCTGACAAATTACCAGTTGCCATCATACTTCAACTACCATTACATGTGACCCAGCCTAGGGAAGGTGGTAAAAATTTAGGCAGCTGTTTATACTAAGGTTTCCAATGTTGCTGTTTAGGATCCCAACGAGCATCTGTGATGCTTAGTGTCAGCTTTCAAACAGTGTCCCCAGAGGTAACATCCTTGTTAACAGCAGCATATGAAGAGGAGAGACAACAGACCTGACTACCTACCCATCAGCCCTCTCGTCTCTCTGCAAGTTTGTGTGCACAGAGCCGAGCCCTTCCCTCTCTCTAAAAGTGCAACCTTTCAAGAATTGAAGTGAATAGAGGATATCAAACAACAAGAATGCATTTTTTGTAGAAAACAATGATTATATCGAGGCTTCCTGACCAGTGATTTAAATAGATTTGATGTAAAATCAAATCCACCCTGATATAATTAGAGGAGGTTGAACCAGTATTTTTTAAAACTATTTTGACATCCCTACTAGGAAGTTTTTGCTCATTTTTTTTTACTGTAGAAATGAAGAGCTGGCATTTTCTAAGTGCCTCAAGTCTAAGAAGGCTGAGACTCCCCCCGCCCACCCCACCCCAACGCAGACCAACCAACCACACCACCGCCTGGTGTAGTTACACTGAAAGAGTGAATCTACGCTGGTGTGTTTGCAAGCAAGGTGCATTACACCACGGGAGTGAATCTCTGCAGGTGTGTGACACTACAGGAGTGACTACACCCGCACATGTGCATGACACTACAGGAGCAAATCTATGCAGGTACGTGTGCATGCAGATTCATTCCTCTACTGTAACTCTGCATGCATAAGCACATACGTATGCACCTCCCAGATGTGAATCTGTGTATGTGTACACGTATGAGTATGCATGCATGCAGTGCATTGCGCTACAGGAGTGAATCTATGCGTGTACATGTAGGCAGACAGGGTGCGTTGCACGACAGGAGTGCATGCTCACCCAGCATGTTACACTACAGGAGTCAAGCTATGCAAGTGAGTGTGCAAATTCACTCCCGCAGTGTAACACACTGGTGCACGCGCCCAAACACAGACACACACCCCTAGTGTGGCTGCGCAGGATCACTGTAGTGTAACACACTGCACGCGTGCGTGCGTGCGTGCGTGTGTGTGTGTGTTGGGGCAGCCCCCCTCGCGCTGGTTCCCGGCGGGGCAGGAGGGTCCCCCAGCCCCGCGCAGGCAGGGAGATGGCGGCCGCGGGGCAGCGCGTACCTGTACCCGGAGCCGGAGCCGGAGCGGCCGCCCGCCCGCGCTGGTGCCAGTCCCGCCGGCCGCTCCGGGGGGGGCCCTTTAAACCAGG